CATCCCAAACCATACAAGGAGCCAAAGACAAATCTGAAGCCCACATGCAAATAGAACACAGGATAAAACAACATGGCCATTCTGCACAGAAAAGGAGAAATCCAGCACCAGGGGGAGAGGCAGGGGAAACAAAATCACCTCAAAAGAAAGAAAGAGAAAGTGCCAGGAGATTGCTGCTTCCTTTTGGTTTGGTTGTTATTGTGGTTATTGATCTTTTCTCCGCTAGAGAATAAACCAGGAGCCCTGAAAAATAATGGCTGATATTAGAACATATTTAGCCACACTAAAAGGGCTAGATTAATTAGGTTACAGGATAAATAAATGGAGAGAGAGACAGAGACAGAGAGGTGGGTGTGTATGGGGATGGAGCTACTGACAGGCCAATTGATACATAGATGGCTAGCTAGATGGGTGTATCTGGAGGGAGATAGATAGCTGCATAGACAGACAGACAGATAGATTATCTGAGGTATGTCTTCATAGCAATACACTGGAAAAGAACCCTTTTCTTTGTAGAGTTACATACAGAAAAAAGCAGAAAAGCACTTCTTTTCTGCCTTCTGGTATGACTAATGGAAAGTTATTAATTCATACAAAATCCTTCAGGATCACCACAGCTGTATTACCTAACTTGGACAGCTCCTCCTCATACACAAAGCAATCAGGCACTAATTCTTGGTCAGTAAATAAGTTATTCATGAAGAAGAAATTTGGCTTGTAGCGTAGAAGGATATGTTGGAAAACTCTTTCACTTGTGCATGCACGTCTGTTACCAGCATAACTCAGATCTCTATGATTGTGGGATGTTCAGTGCTTGAGATTATCCAGTCTCTTACCCACAGAAGTGCACAGAGCAGGAGTAAACCGCCTTTACTCGGTTGTATAGTCCCACTGAAGTCCATAAGTTATTTTTTAAGTTACTTGTGCATGACAGCCTGACCCATGTCACTTGAGTTGGTGACTGGCACCATTTCTCTGTTTCAGCTGAAAGCCTTGTGTTTTTTTTGTTAGGTGCATGCTCTAGGTTTGTTGCTAGTGACATGCTTGTTCCTATGTTAACACAATGCTGCAAGTAAATAGTATCCCCGTTATGTTAATAGCACGCTGAGTAGCTATATTAATGGCAGATCCTGCCTCTACAAGTTAGAGGCATTTCCTCTGGCTCGGTGCTAGTGATATTTTCTAGTTGTCAGTCCTGTACTTCATATCAGTTAGAGATGCACCAGAGTTGTATTCTTTAGATCCAGATTTAGGTCTAGATTCAGAATGAAACTTTGACCATTCCCATATTCACAGTCCCAGCATTAATGCCTCCCTACTATTAAATACTAGAAATAAAGGAGAGCAACGTTAGGCTACAAAGTTAAACATTGAAACATCAGGACATATTAATGTTATATTTGCTCACTGCCCGCTGGTGTGTTTGCACAGAATGAGATAATTTTAATTGTGTGATCACATCCAGCTATTCAAATAATAAAACAGATTATAATCCAAATAATAAGACAGCAATATATGTTGCTATTTCCTTAAGTACATACACATCTAAGATAATCTGAGCTCATATTATTGATGAATGTAGCTAGATCCTAATGCAGGAGCACACGGAGCCAGAGTTAAGGCTGCTCGTCCAATTGTCAAATTTCCTATCTTTTCAGCGCATCCTTCATGTTGCTTGTTTCTCATATTAATTTTCTTGAATTTTTTTCCCTGAAAGAAAAAGAACAGCAAGAAGCAAACACCTTCAGCATATAACAAAAAGACTTCAAAACCATTGGCTGACAACCTGTATCTTTTGTGTCTGTTACTGCAGAAGTCAAAAGCAAAACTCCCAGTGTCTTTGCATGAAGCAGAAAAAGGTCCATTCAAGGGTACCAGTGAGTCAGGGATTGATCAGTGCCTCTTCATACCACAGCCTACTTGCACTGGTGTGTCTCCACTATGTTTAATGGTATTCACACTACTTTACACCAATATAACTGAAAGCAGAACTTGGGCGAAGTGGGCATTTTCACATGTGCACAAATTCTGGATATGAGTTATGATATATACCTTATAAGACCCCTATGAATTAAACTAGCCTGAATGCTTGCTTAATATAAATATACATAACTTCAAAAGTAATCACTCAGTTATCATTAAACTTGGCTTAATGTTAATGTAGTGATCTACAAAAGAAGGCACTTTTGAAGAAAACTGGTTCAAAATTTTCCAGTTAGATGACTTGAGCACTGTAGCAGTTAAGGAAAGCACTGAGCCCCTAACAACAAAACTCTAAACCTCCCCAGCACATATGAAAATGCGTACCTTTTTACTTAACAGCTTCTTAGCAGGCAGCTTTCCAGCTGATTGGGACTGTACCACTGTGCAAAGCCTCATCAGGGAAAACTATAGGCCTGATCTTGCAGTGGATGCATTAACAGCTGTATATGGAACCCTGTTGAATTCAATGGTAGTACTCATAGTATACAGCACCATGGGTAAAATTCACACTAAGCAGGGAGCCAGATAGGAGCTTAATGAGTTAAATGGCACATAAAACTTGTTAGGTCCTCTATACATATGAATTTCATGCTGGTAATAAACCTTTGCAATATGAGGTCTGTGTAAGTGCCACATTTCAAACACCAGTCATTTGAACTGCAGCCCTGTTAAGTACATGTGGATGGAGGTCTTATAAATACAAAGTGGATTTTTTTTAAATTGCATTTTACCAAAATCAGGACCGGCTGAAGAGGTATGGATCCAACTTAAAGAGAAAAAGAAAACATAACATTTTAGGCCCTGAGATGAATGTTTCAGGAAGTAATTTGCAAAACAAATCAAAACAGGTGCTAAATGTTTTGTTTGAGGTGAAAGGCTAACCTTTAGAATGTAATAAGGAATATCCTGAAATGCATGCACATTTAAGTCCTAGTCTTAAAGCTAAATCAGAGTGAGTTCAGCTGCAGGAATGAGGTCTTACTCAAGAGGATGCTTTACTCTCCAGCAGCTAAAACAGCTGCCTTCTTTGAAGATGCATGTAACCTGTTGAGACTTTTCCACAGATAGTTTTAGAAAGCAAGGTTTTTTTAAAATCTTTGTGCAATTCAGGCTGTGCATCCCCTCTCATTTCCATCTCATGGAAAGACCAACCAGAAAAAAAATAATTAGGAAAAACCAGCTTTATTTGATACTTTTATTTATATGCAAAACAGCTCACTATTCATGAGAGATATGAAAAAACGCGTCAGATAGAAACCAGATTTATCTATTTTCACTACAAAATATTGCATTATATAAAGCAACAGAGACACACAAAAAAACCCTGAAAAAGACTAAAATCTTTGGATAGCAGATGTGGTTTTTTTTTCTTTTTCTTTTTGTCTCTAAAATGCGTTCCTTGTTTTAAGAGATTCACAGCAAAGAACATGAAACATTTTCAGGTTATAGAATTTTTTTGGTTGTCACAAAGGAAAGTAGTCCTGTATTATTTTTAGGAAAAATGCCATTTCCTAAAAAATACCACGCACATACACGCCCACGCACACACGCACACACACACATGTATATACACACACACAGACAGACAGACAGACGAAGAAACTACTTCCCTTATAAACTGTTTGCAAAATACTCTTCAGACGTAACTATAGCTTCAAATAACAAGTATTAAAAAAACCCTCTAGGTAAGTGCTAGTGTTGTTGATCTCACGCACACACGCACACACAAAGAAAAACATTCAAGAACAAACATCTTATATATAAAATATGCTTAGAAACAGGGAGGGAGGGAGGGTTTTGTTGTATACAAGTGCAATATAATTGGAGCAAAAAGAAAAAAAGGAAAGAAAAGACAAAAGAAAAACCACTGTATTGATCCCAACAAACACTTAAAAAGTGAGACATAATATTCCACAGGAAGAAGTGTAAACACTTGACTATAGAAACCAATTGGCACAAAGTATCCAAAGTAAAATTGCCACCACTCAGAAAAATAAATAGGTCTTGGGGAGAAAAAAAAAAAGGTGTCTACTCCTTGTAACATAAATAAAAAATAGTGATTTGTAACTGCACCCATGGGTCACACGTTTAAGGTCACAAGTCGATGTTTTGTTTTTCGGGTTTTTTGGATCTATAAAGGGGCACTTGACAGCCTGGAAAGAAAAACAACAGCCCAATCTGATCTTACAGCTGTGTGCTAAAAATGGGACTTTCTATATTGGGTCACCAAAAGATGCACTATTGGCAGGAGAGGATTTTTTTTTCTTTTTCTTTAAAGAAACCCTTACAAAATGATTCAGGATTATTTCTACACACCCCCAGAAGACTTTGGAAATGCATCTGCCCTTGCCCTTTTTCTTGTTTCCTTCTCTGGACAGTTAGTTGTCCTTCAACCCTTCCATGGCTGCAATTTCCCCAGCAAAGCACTTCAGCACCTGCTCATCTTTAAGCTAGCCAGCCAGTGCTTCGGGGTTTTTGGCGGGGGGTGTGGGGGGGGGACCGAGCAGCCTAGGCTTTCGTCTGAAATACGTGCCACCTCTTCTCTGCTTGGAGGCTGGGACTGGTTCCAGTTTGGGGGTGAGGGGGGATGAACGGAGCTCTCCCTCAGACAGGGGGGAGCGTGGCCTGCACAGTCTCTAGAGCTACATATCCCAAGCCACCCCGGAGGGACAGCAAGAGGGACGACTTGGTGGGAAGGATGTTGGCTGGCTGGCTGGCTGGCTTGGGGGGCGCGGGGGGTGGTGGTCCTTCTAGCTGGCTGCTCAGCAGTTAAGGCAGATGCATCTCCAGGGTCTGGTCCCCCAGTGCTCAAAGCTTTCCCCAAGGCTTAGCTCCAGGCCTGGGGGTGGGGAGGAGAGCCCGCCCTCACTGAGATGTCAGGAAAGGCTCTCCCGGCGGAGGGCAGCGAGGCACCGCACCCGGCTGGCCGGAGAGGTGGCGGGGACACACGAGGTGGCAGGGAGGCGGTCGGCGGGCCCGGCCCTGCTCGGCGCAGGGGTGGGACTCGGCCCCGCCGCCTACACGTCCAGCACGTGGTTGAGATAGGAGATGTAGCAGATGGCGAGGCGCAGGATCTCGATCTTGGACAGCTTCTTGTCGGGGGGCAGCGTGGGCAGCAGCTTGCGCAGCTCGGCGAAGGCCAGGTTGAAGGCCTCCACGCGGATGCGCTCGCGCGTGGCGTGGGCCGAGCGGTACTTGGCCGTGGCCCGCCGCCGCCGCCGCCTCTCCTCGCGGCTCTGCGGGTGCGGGGGGAG